AAATCTCGAGTCCTGATCCATAGTTGTCTACATGAGTCAATCACTGTCCGTGCCTCCGTATTTTGACGGAAGCAACTATGCCTATTGGAAGGCTAGAATGCTTGTTCTTCTTATCTTTAGATGAACATGCCTGGGTGAGTGTACAAAATGGTTGGAAAACTCCTTCCACAACCGTTTCTGGTGTTGTATCCCCAACTAACATTTCCCTTTGGACTAAAGATGAATTGGCTAATTGCAACTGGAATAGTAAAGGTCTACATGCATTATTTATGTCTGTGTCTCCTGAAGAGTTTAGGAGAGTGTCAATGTGAAAAAATGCTAAAGAGGTATGGGACATTCTAGAGACAACGCACGAGGGAACTAAAACTGTGAAAAATTCTAAGTTGCAAATGTTGGCCTCAAGGTTTGAAGAAATTAGGAAGAAGGAAGATGAGTCTGTTGATGAGTTCTATGCCAAATTGAATGACATTTTTAACTCTAGTTTCAACCTAGGTGAGAGGATTCCCGAGAACAAAATTGTGAGGAAGGTTCTTAGGTCCTTGCTCGAGAGATTTAGACCTAAAGTTACAGCTATTGTAGAAAGCAAGGACCTGGACACAGTTAAGATAGAAGAACTCGTAGGATTCCTTCAAACCTATGAACTCACCATTTCACAACCGAAGAAAAACAAGTCTATAGACTTGAACACCATTAGGGAAGAGGAGTCTGAGTCATCTGACATGGAAATTTTTAGAGATGAGGAGATTGCCTACTTTGTAAAGAAATTCCAGAAAGCCTTAAAGGGCAAGAAATGGCCCTAAGAGAAGAGCCCTTAGTAAATTCCTAAGAGAGAAGAATGATAAATCAACTGCTAGGAACCATGGTAAGAAATCTCAAGTGGTTAGATGTCACGAGTGTCAGGGATTTGGGCACTATAGGAATGAATGTCCTAGCTTTAAGAAAAATCTAAAGAAGGGAAGGTGCAATTAATTGAGAAGCATCAAGGATGCAATTAATTTCTTTTAATAGATAGATAGAAGTTTCTTGCTACTCTAATGAAGATGAGGATCATATGTTACTACAAAGTAGTCGATGCAAAAATACAGGATACAGCAGATCCATTGAAAATAATTCATTAGCAAGAATTGACAAAATGTTGCATGCCAACTCAAAAGGCGTCCTACTCTATATGATCAATAGCAGTACAGCAATGCACAAGCATATTAGACGAGATTTAATGTGTGTGTCTACACACACACACAGAGTTTTTTTAATAACTTGTGCTTTTAAATTTAGTAATTCATCATAGTACCATAACATGAAAATATCACGTGTTAAAGTTTTGTGGCCATTTATGCATTTAATGAAGTTGTGCTCGTTTCAGAATTTTGATAAGGATAAATGAACGCGTGGATGTGTTGAAAAAATTATTTAAATAATATATACATGATCTTATCTAAAAATTTAATTTACTAGGTGAAACCCGTTAGAAGCGAAGCCCGTTATATCAATATAATTTCAAATAAGCAAAACTAAATTGTGTGATTGATTCAAGTTAAACAGCAAAAGACATTTTTTAATAGAAAGAATATCATTCTAGCTATGTTTTTAATATACTTGTGATGATCACATTTCATCAATTAAAAAGGCAAAAGGGAGAAAAAATAATCAAAAGAATGTTATTCCTACATTGTGGATTTCACAATTATAGTGTTTTGCAAGACTCGAACATTTTTGTGTTTTTCTCACACTTTTCAAAAGACAAATCTCTTCACAAAAATTTAAGTATATATATGAAAAGAATTATTCTTCTTGGCCAAGGCCTTATAGGCCCTAGATTTCCGGGGGGTCATGTATCCCCTCTACTGGCAGGGAGTCTATTCGCTAAGTAGCATGGTCCATATGAAAAAAATCGTGCACAGTAGCCAAGCAATTAATCTAGTTGTAAAATATAAGTTGACAAAAATGGTTGACAAAACAAGTGTTGACAGAATCTTGACATTTGATTTCAAATGATTTAAAAAATAAGGTTTTTGAAATGATTGGTGTAGATGTTGTTTTGTAAACCAACTTTGTCAACCAATTTTGTACAAGTAACATAACTTTTAGCCAAGAACTAGTGACATGGCCTAGTATCATTAAGATATGACAAGTTTACAATTTTTATAAATAGATGATAATGAAATTTAGAACTAGAGATATTTATTTGTTCTGATATCATAGTAAATCGCATTATTTAAGAACTTAATTATTATGTAGATAATACATTATTACAAACCAGTCAAAGCGTCCGTTTGCCAACACTTTGCTTTGTTTCTGCTTCTTATAAAAGATTTTCTTGAAAAAGTTACTTAGGCTAATTTCGTCTGATTCTAGCCCGCACTTACCAAATATCATCCAAACTTTCTGAAAGTTAAAGTCAAATACGCGGTGCAAATTAAAAAGCATGAAGGAGAATGAATTAATTAATCCGAATCAATAAATGCTCCATGCCAACTGCAAAAGGAAGATCGTTACATCTCATCAATAATACAGCATTAAATTCACAATACAGAAGCTGATATTTTATCAAAATTATACTTATTTTTATTTATTTTGACAGAAAGTTATACTAATTTATTGGGTTTGTGTGACCAAAATCGGTCCGATCGAACTTATAAAACCTATAATTGAAAATCCATCCAAAACCCATTAAACCATCCATTTTTTAGAAAACCTGTGACACATTCCGGGTTTAACCGATTCCACCTATGTGTGTGTGTGTATATATATAAATTTATATATTTTAATTTTTTAAAAAATCATCGGTTCAACTCTTGCTCAACCTTTTGATTCTCGATCATTTCTCTTTTCGAGTTGATGACCGGATCGATTTTTAAAACGTTGTACAGTAAAACAAATCATTTATTCATATTGTAAAAGTGTTGTTCATCGATTTGTGTACACTTACGATAATTAGAAATTAATGTGTTATATATCGATTGTGTACACTTACGATAATTAGAAATTAATGTGTTATATATCGATTTTATTAGGAAAAAATACTTCACATAACTTACAAAATGCTAGTTGTACAAGTTATGGAACTGTCCAAGTCAAAATTTATAATACATGTCACAATCATGAAATTTTGAACACTATTTATTATTATTATTATTTTTTTTTTATTTTTTTAATCACTTGTAAGGTTAGAAATGGGGTCACATTTTCACGTAAGAGAAACTAATGGTTGCTTTATTTTAAAAAATTAGAAATACATTCGACGTATCTCAAATTTAAAAACTAGTAATTGAAGATCACAATAACATGTATCCCCCCTATTGGCAGGGAGTCTGTTTGCTAAGTAGCATGGTCCATATGAAAATATCGGGCACATTAACCAAGAACTAGTGGCATGGTTTAGTATCATAAGATATGACAAGTTTACAATTTTTATAAATAGATGATAACGAAACTTAGAACTAAAGATATTTATTTGTTCTAATATTATAGTAAATCACCTTGTTTAAGAACTTAAATATTATTTAGACAATACATTATTACAAACTAGTCTAAGCATCCGTTTGCCAACACTTGGCTTTGTTTCTGCTTCTTAAAAAAGATTTTCTTGAAATGGTTACCTTGAGCTAATTTCGCCCCCGTTTGACCCCCATTACCTGAAAATGAAAATGGGGGAATATTATTTTTTTTTAAAAATGAGTGGTCGAAAAAGAAGGAAATTTTTTTGATTTACGTGTAATATTATTTTATGGAAGATTGTGTGATTGAAAATAAAAGAGAGAAAAATGAAATATAATGTAATTGAATTTAATAGGATCAAACAGAGGCTTCGTTTTTTCCCAGTCTGCACTTTCAAAATGTCATCCAAACTTTTTGAAAGTTATGTCAAACAGTGCAAATTAAAAAGCAGGAAAAAGCCCCAAAGGTGAATGAATTAATTAATAAGAACCAATAAATGCTCCATGCCAACTGCAAAAGGGAGATCGTTACATCTCATCAATAATACAGCATTAAATTCACCATAGGGAAGCTGATTTTTATCAAAATTATACTTATTTTGTGCACTGATTATTGTTGGTTGTATGCTAGTAAGAATGTTTTAAAAATTGGACCGGTCCAATCGGTTCAATCAAAAAAATCGAAAAAATCAAAAATTGGAACCAAAATCGGTCCGATCAAACTTATAAAACCTATAATTGAAAATCCATCCAAAACCCGTTAAACCATCCGATTTTCAGAAAACCTGTGACCCGTTTTGGGTTTAATCAAATCCTTCTATGTAAATATGTGTGGGTGTGTGTGTAATTTTTTTTAAAATTTTAAATTTATATTTTCTAAATTTGTGCATATTTATATATTTTAATTTTTTAAAAATTACTAGTTCAACTCCTCTTCAACCTTTTGACTCTCTATCCTTTCTCTTTTCCGATTCGATGACCTGATCAATTTTTAAAACGTTGCATAGTAAAATAAATCATTTATTCATAATGTAATTAGTGTTGTTCACCGATTTTTGTACACTTACGATAATTACAAATTAATGTGTTATGTATCGATTTTATTTGGAAAAAAAATTTCACACAACTTACAAATTGCTGGTTGTACAAGTTAATGAACTGTGCAAGTCAAAATTTATAATACACATCAAAATCATGAAATTTTCAACACTATTTATTATTATTATTACTACTACTACTACTATTACTACTACTACTACTACATTTTTAATCACTTGAAAGGTTAGAAATGGGGTCACATTTTCACGTAGAGAAACTAATGGTTGATTGTATTTTCAAAAATTAGAAATACATTCGACATATCTCAAATTTAGAAACTAGTAATTGAAGATCACAATAATAGGAAAAATTAATGTCACGTTCAGTGAATACAAAATCACAGCGAATATCGACTAGTTACATACTCAAACCTAAAAAAAATTTAAAGGTCACATTTTGTTACCAATGAATTAAGATCATGTATAAGGGGAAAAATCACAACCAATGTCTCAAAAACAGAATAACCATAATTGGGCATTGTCCTTGTAACCGAGACAAACTACACTCGGGCAAATTTAAATTACTTAAAAAGTAATTTTGATCCACTTTTTAAGCTTAGACAAACTTTGCTATAAAATGGAGAAGACAAGAAAACGTCCATGCTGCTATAATTTTTCTTTCATCAGCATTTCCTTCCTTTTAATTCCCAAAACAGGTTTCAATTAGGGCTCCCTTCTGCGCAAAAATGGTGGATTTGCTTGGAGGGGGTGCTACAGGTGTAGCTTTTGATCATCTAATGCAAGCTGTATTAGATGTAACAGTTAAAGTAGCGGGTTTCAATTCTGAACTCGACCACTTGAAATCGACTCTGATTTCGATCAAACCGTTTATCGACGACATAGAGAAGCTAAACAGAGTGCTGAACTGCCGACAACAGGGAGCAGAGGCGCTCGCCAATCTGTTTTGAAAAGGCGAAAAACTCGTCCGCAAGTGCATGGAAATCAAATGGTGGAATGCAATCAAGAAGTATTCGCATATGAAGAAATTGGAAAAGTATGAAGCCTCGTTGCTGTGGTTTTTTCAGATAAATGTGCAGGTTGAGTTGTCTAGAGATGGCAAAACTGTTGCTGTGGGAGTAAAAGTTCTTGAGGAGAAAATGGATAAAATAATTTCTACCCAAGATAATGGTCGTAGCGTTAACTCAAATGGGTTTTCAGGTCTTATTCTCCCCTCCTAAATTGTACTTAGTTTGTGAATAAAAATGAAACTTCACTTGGTGGTTTTATTAACAAAAAAATGGGGTTTCAGGTTGGTGTGGTGTTCCGGGAGTTCCAGATTTTGTGGTTGGATTAGACGCGCAGCTTCAGGAACTGAAGGGGATGCTGTTAAAGGATGGAGTGCCAATTGTTGTGCTTTCGGCTCCTGGTGGCTGCGGCAAGACTACACTGGCAAAATTGCTCTGTAATGATGATGAAATTAAAGGTAATCAGCGAGTTTAATCCCGTTTGCCATGATCCTTTTTTAATATTAAAAGCTTTGCCAAACGAGCCTAAGGATCCTTGATTTTTGTTGCTTTTTCTTGTGAGTAGTCTATTGAGAGTTTGGCGCTTCTTGTGAAGCGCTCTTTAAACTTTTTAAGAACAAGAAATCACAAGAAGATTGTTTGAACAAGAACAAAAACGAAATCGTCCATTGTTCGCAGAAGGAATCAAAATTGATTTTCTTCGTTTTGGTCTACCTCCATCAAACTACTCTTTCTCGTCTTTGAATAATGCATAAATTGTAAAGATATACATAATTATTGCTGTAGTGTATCAGTGACAGAATCTTATGCCTTGAACTTTGGTCATACTTTCCTTTATGATCTTGTATCTTGATTATCTCATGTTATGCATAGGTATATATGGGAATAATATCTTCTTTCAGACAGTCTCAACAGCGCCTAACCTTCAGCTAATGGTTCAAAAAGTATTTCAGAGTAACAAAAACCAGCAGGTGCCTATCTTTCAAAGTGATGAAGATGCAATAAACCAACTAGAACAGTTATTCCTGCAGCAAGTAGGACCAGCTCCCATACTATTAGTCCTGGACGATATGTGGCCAGGATCCAAGTCACTCATTGATCAGTTTCTTCTTCCAATACATGGATATAAAATCTTGGTTACATCGAGATTTGTGTTTCCGCAATTTGAATGGACTTACAAATTGAATATGTTGAATCATCAAGATGCAATGACTCTATTTCATCATTATGCCTTTAAAGATGGAATATGCACTGTGCAAAAAATCTTGTAGAAGAGGTAAAAGCATTATCTCTGCTAAAATACATCTTTAGAGCATTCTACCAAAAACATCAATATTGAACTTAGTTCATTTTTCTGTATGTGGCTCAATTTTCTATCATATTATTATAGCCTTTTATTTTACCTGAAGCATTAAACTACATCTAGAGTGACAATTTTTCATGTCAAAATTCATTTTATTGGGTTAAGATCTTAAATTTTTTTGAACGGATATGTAAACAAAAATTTCAACGAATTTTTTATAAATTTATTTACTCTACTCTAAAACTTAACTGATGTTGCTCTTGGAATCTCATGGCAGGTGGTCAGAGGTTGCTCAGGATCTCCATTGGCCCTTACAGTTGTAGGCAGGTCACTCTATAGGCAGCCTGAGGTGAATTGGATTCGTACAGTTCAAAATTGGTCCCAAGGGCAATCAATTTACGACACCAACATGGTTTTGCTTAGTCGCCTCAAAACCAGCTTAGATGCCTTGGACGGAATGGAAGTACTCAAGAATTG